ACTTAGATGACTGCAAAACGACGTTGTTTTTTAAGCAGAATGTAGAACAATCAAATTAAAAAACGGGAGTTACGACGCCCTTAACACATCGTGTGTATTAAACTTCCCTGGTAAGTACTATTATTATTGTACTTATACACCTGTTGGAGTATTTCGGACAATTTCGAATTTAAAATTAATGAAAACCCGACACATAATAAAGACGCAAAAGTAAAATGAACATTCATTGAAAAAGTTATTATTTAAGAAAGACAACATGATCGTACAATTCCGCCCAAACCTCGATGTTCGCAAGTGAGATGATAAATAAATACTTCCCTGTATTCGATCAATTAACTTTAGCGTATCGTTGTTCTGCCAACAAACAGCCGGGTGCAAAATATTTCCGTCCTGTGATATGCTCACAAATATTCTCGATATTAATATCATACCCTCGCGTATGTACTTTCTATTAGCTCTTTAGTGATCCCTTCCATCCTTGGCCAAGTCATGTTTCGAATATGTGAACATTTTATTCGACCATACATGGCCGGCGGGATGTTAAAATTGTAAACAAGAGAGAGGTAAAATCAATCGCGAATTTCGTTATAACGGCTCGTTTACGAATTGTTGCGCCTGTTATCGTCGAAAATGATTACATTTGTTGTATTTTGAGGCATTTAAGCAGTAATAATTAGGGCATGACATCATCAAAATCGTCAAGTGAGATCTTGAAATTGCAAATTCCGTAAATAAAATTGTGAATTACTCGGTAACGAATTCAGCTTCAATGAGCGTCGGGATATTGTTTTGTTGAAAATTATAATTAATGTGAGAGCGCCAAAAACATACAGTCCATACCGATGCGACTGCAATTTATATGGCCGCACTTGGTGTGGCGCGTTTATTAATAGTGTAAAATAAATTAAACGAATATCAATTATAACCAAGCCTGTCAGCGTGTTTATTTTCTGTGGGCAAGAATCGTAAAATACCATCTTGGGACAAATTCACTTCTATTATAAAATCTAATTTTTCAGTTATTATCGTTATACAAATAACGTGTGGCAACTTTTTAATTTATCGCCCACCAAAAAACCGCCCCACACTCGTCCAAACGTGTGTCAAGCTTGACCGACAGGAACAGATTCATCGACGACTTTAATTAGGGAAAATATGTATTCTCTTGGGAATGCTAAATAAATGTAACAAAACGCATTTTTTTGTGATATAACTTTGCATTTTCGGAAACGGATTGCCGTGAAAGGTAAAATTTGATCTAAATTAATCGCAAAAATGTTTTATTTTAAATGTAACAAAACACATTTTGCGATATAACCTTGTATTTTCGAAAACGGGTGTCCTGAAAAGTAAAATATGATCTAAATTAATCGCAAAAATGTTTTATTTTAAATGTAACAAAACACATTTTTCGCAATACAACTGTATTTTCGGATACCGGGTGTCATGAAGAGTAAAATATGATCTGAATTAACCGTAAATAATGTTTCATTCCAAATGTATCAAAACGCATTTTTTTGCGATATAATTTTGTATTTTCGAAAACGGGGCGTCATGAAATATATTAATCTAATGTTTTATCTATCGTCTAACTAACGTCTGGTACACATCATTTTCGGGGAGAACTCTAGCCCGCGAAACGTCATTTAATTTAAAATAGAGAATGTTCCACGCATTCCAAAACGGAAAATCACCAGTAAGTCGACAGGGATTCAACCCTCCGGATTCAGTATTCTATATCCCCCGTGTCAGAAATTTCTGAAGATTGGAACAAAGAACCGGTCAAACCGCCGCGGAAGAAGGGGAGTATTTTTTGCACTAATAATTAGGGCGTGACATTATCAATATCGTCAAGAAACTGGTGAATTTTCAAATTCCATAAATAAAATTGTGAATTGCTCGGTAACATTTTAGCTATAATTATCGCCGGGGTATTGTTTTGTTGAAAACATGTTGAAACTTGAGGGAATTAGTTACAATTAGCGCCTGACCTCTATTAGGCACTCGAGCACTCGAAAAAAAAAGCACTCGAGTCCAATCTTTTTAGCATTAAGTCGCATACGTAAAATATCCTGTAAAAGAAGTGCTGTTCATTAACGTCATCTCGTCTTATGACCACGCAGAAATGCCTTTATTGCCGAATATTCAATCACTATTTTAAATCAACATTCAGGATTGGCACAATTTCAGATTTGCGAAGTTTATCACCATAGAAAAACATGAGAAAGTTAGTTATCGTCTTAATAAATATCAGCATCACGGTATCGACAATAATATTACCATTCGCATAAAATTGGGACCGTAAATTTACAAATCTTGATAGGTAATATTAAAGCCAACGCAAATGTTAATTTGAGTCCTCAATGTCTTCAACAGCTGTTGCCGATGTGAACAAACGGGTAAACCCGAAATATAAAACTTCGATGGCCGCCGACCCGCAAGAATTCATATTTGTAAAAAAGAGAGGGCGGGAATATAGATTAACAAAACCTGGATATCGCCGCCAAAACGATCGGTGACAAGAACAATTAGCGTATACAACGGAATTAACCAGTAAAAAGGCCTTGTTGCCGATTTTTTAATGTTTCCACCAACCTTCCAAAAATATTTGTTATTCGGTACTCGTTAAAAATATTCAATTCAATAAAATATTGAATTTTGCCCACCCGTACTCGCATATCAATGAGAAATAGTTGTGTAAATATCGCAAAATGCCACGTGCTTTCAACATTGTGATTACAATAAAATGGCACTTAATGGTATTTTGTGAATTTGGTGATTTTGCAAATCTGTGACATGCTGCTAAAAGTTTCGTCTGATTTGAAAATCTTTGAAAATCGTGCACTTTGGTCACAATACATCCAAAGTGACTATAACACTTTACTAACACTTTTATAGTCATTTTGAATTCAACGATATCATTGATAGTCACATGACCACTTTCGTTCAAAGAAAGGCACCGCGTAGTAGTATTCCAACATCTGGTTTCAAAGACGCGGAGCGTTTTGCGGGAGAAGCGGAATCGGTGTGCTTGTATAATAATCATATTATAAACAAGAATTTTGCGGTTAATGCAAAAGCTTTATCTCCTATGTCTGCATCTCATAGGTTAGAATTCCGGTAAATATCGTTATGATATGCAGAATTGAGTTACAAAAGTACTAGTATGTTACTTATTTGTCAACTTAATACTCGAAAATATTGGTTAACTTTGAATTTTTATTCCATTCAAAATCGGAAAAAAGTGCTATTTCTCTTCAAAATCGGAAAAAAGTGCTATTTCGCAGTCCCTAAAAAAAGTTGCGAAAGTGCTTCGCAATTTTCGCAAAAAAGTGCGCTAATAGTGAACACTGGTGTGGTTATTGGAACGCCGCTGGTATTTTGGGGGTCTAGCATTTTCATATACAGCCGGGGTGTGCAACCAGCGGCCCGCGGGCCAAATGCGGCCCACAAGAAAAATTGTGCATCCCGCGGAGAAGTGCCAATTTTGAATGGTGTGCGGTCAGCGAGAACCAGTTTTCAATTTAGTTTAATGTCATAAGATCAATATCCAAAATTTTTGTTCCTGCAGCTATAAGCCTATGTTAAATAAAGGTGCGACCTGCGGTTTCACTCAGTTATTTGTATCTGGCCCTCCTGTGTATTAAAGGTTGCACACGCCTGTTATACAGTATAGGTGGAATTGAAATTGAGTGATAGTCTATTTTGTCCCATGCTTTTCATATAATATTTACGTTGAACTATTGTGTTATAACCAGTATGGTATGGAACAAGTAACTAAACATGCTACCGCGTTTTATGTGTCGGCAGTACGTATATTGTGTAGCTAGTCTAATATTTAATCTAAGCTATAGTAATTGCTAGAAAGTATTATATTGAAATTGAAATACGCCCTAGTCATTTCAGTACACAAACGTTTTGCAAAATATGAAATTTTCAAATATGATGTAATGAATGAATATTCCATTTCTTAACGATACCGAATGGCCAAACGCACCACCTATCACGTTTAAGAGTCCGACATTCCGATGTCTGTAATTGCAGTTAGTAGCTATACTAGATCCAAAATTATGTGTCGTTTGAGATTTCAAAACACTGATACTTTTTTTAAGTTAGAACTATGTTAGAACAAAACGGTCTCAGGAACAATAGCGAGCGGTTGACGAGAGAGAGTTCGACCCTCAATATTGAGAGTCTGTTCATAGACCTGATGACGACTTTTCGTTAAGTTTTCAACAGCTATAGTTACACTAACTGTTCCAATCTCCATCCCGTCGTCCACCGAAAAAAAGACACCTGGGTCTGATTTCTATAGATAAAAGTTGATTTCAATAAATGAGGCGGTTAAATGCGTAATGCCTCCCACTCATGTTCAAAAGTTTTAACAATGTTTATTTCTAACAGCGTTATTTCTATTGATTCCAATTTATTTTGAGAAGCATCTCATGACGTCACACACGAAAATAGAAATTCGTGTGTGACGTATAATATAGAAAATTACCCTAGGAAAGGTAGTAGCTTCAACACACAGCATTTGCAGGCTTTAGCTTCGTGTTTGCTAGTCGGTAACCTACATTGCAATCACAGATCTATAAGTGAGCAAAACCAAGCTGCAAATTATATATTTATCAACGGTATGATATAGAAATATTTGGCCGAAGATAAATCAATTGAATTATAAAGCTTTGAGTTGATCTTGTTATTGTTTTTATTGTAGATTTAGCTGTGGTTGAGGCTTACGCATTCTTGTTTTGCATCTATTTTCTAAGGCTCTAGCGAGCAAGTATGAATCAGTTCAAGTCGTAAAATGTCATAAAAAACATTACAATTTTTAATAGTTTTTCTGAAGATTATATGTGATTTTATGATTATAATTTACAGTAACTATTCATTATAAAGATACACTATTTTTTTTTAGTTTTCATATATCCATCTGAGCAAATATATATTTAAACATGCAATGATTGCTCTTCGGGGCTCAAGTCACTTCAAATGTATTTTTTGTTTCAGATAAAACAAACTTAGGTATATTTATTTCGCGGCAATATGAGTTATGTAATTGTTATTTATATGATGACGTCAATATTATCTATGACGTCAACATCGTTAAACACTGTCAAAACAGCATGGACGAGTAAGTTTAAGTTTTTATTTTGAAAAGCGTGGTCAAAAATATTTATAAATAAGAGAGCGTGGAGAACTTTTGTTCCATATCGTTTTTATTGTACTACTATATGCAGAAATGCGGCCAGAGTTTAGAACAATGACCATCAAATTTTATCCGGCCATCTTCACTTTAAAATCGAAATTTTTTTTTGAAATTTGGCCTTTTTATCGGAGGGTTTTAAAATCAACTTTTGATCAACTGTTCTGATTCAAAATATCTACAAGATAATAACCCCACTAATAAATTGGATAACTACTCGAATTTTATCGTTTTTATAAATAATGATAGTTTTATAAAATGCGTACAAATCTACCAAACTTGAAACTGGTATGGGTTCAATAGTTGAGAACTAACATTTCGATCAAAAAATGCTTCCTCAGTTCAGTATTATATTCTGAATTTATGTTTAACTTCTCAGGTGTGACGTCGCTGAATGAAACAACTGGATTCCAATGTTCTGATGGAAGGCGGATAAATATCGAAAAAGTTTGCAATGGAGTTGATGATTGTGTTGATGGCTTCATGACGGATGAATGCGACTGTGACCACATAACAGATATTGTCAGGTACGTGCAGAGCTAGATTAACCATTGAGCAAAATATGCACCTGCTCAGGGCATTAAGAGAAAAAGGTGGCACCACGGAAACTTCCATAACCGAATTTTCTATGGTGCTTCAGTGCATGTCTAATGAAATTATTCGACCCATACTTTATTATTAAACCGGTTTATAATGTGTTTCGTAGTTTATTGAGCTTATATTTCAAATACAAGCGACAAGACGACATTGGCATGAATGCAAATTTATTACTCACTCCAGATGCCACGAGTCAGTCCATTGCGTTTTGGGCATACTCGTTGTCGTATTTCGTCCTGTTTTTTTTTTATTATTACTGTTCCATGTCGACATGATAAAATTGAAATCACGGAAAGTTATATCTTCCTATATTTGAAAAGTCAGCTTTTTTTTACAAATTTCTTCAAAAGTAAAGCCACACTATTTTTAAGTCCATTAAATGAGTTGATTGAAATTGTCATGAGTATCAATACTTTTTGCTGTACGCGACTGTACTGTCAGTACGAAGTTTTAAACATTTCGGCGAACGTTAGCTAATCAATACTGGTGAAATTTAACAGTTACTACTTGCCTGCGACAGGCGCGCAAACTTTCATAATACATGTTGAATTTTCTTTTAGACCGTTCTGTGCAAAACTCCGCATTTTCCATCATGTGTTTCCTGGACGATTTACGGACACAATATCAGGCAGTGGTGACGACGATGACGTACTCGACTGTATCTTATTCGGGCAGTTAGTGAATTGCACAGAAAACCCTGGTTCGTTACGGTGTACCAGCGGGGAACTTTGCGTCACTCGTCCCTCGTTTTGTGACGATGATGGGTGTTGTCCGGGCGAATCTGACGAGCTTCATGCGGGGTTCGGACTCAAATGCCCTATCGAAGGTGCAGGGCATTCAAATCTTTGTGTTTTGCCTTCTTTCTATATTTACGATGACGAGGACCAATGCGTAAACGGACGTAAGAATTGTTACGAAAGACACGAAAACGGAAGTTTGACTGAAAATCTCAAAAAGAGCTGCTTCGAATGTTTAAACCGAGAACACGTAAGGAATTTAGATGAAATCAAGATATATCGGTAAATCGAAATTGTTTAGTCAAATTGGCAAAACCATATCATACGTTTGGACAAAATTATTTAATAAAATGTCATAATCTCTTGATAATAAAATGAGACCATTTGTTACGGCGTTCTTATAATATTGTCCCTGCTGTAAACAAGCAGCCACGCTACTATTAGCACTAAACTTGGTGTTGATTATCTCTATATATAAAGACATAAAGGTGCGAAACCAAGATATATATTATGCAAAAAATTAGATGCCTAAATACGGGCATGAGAAATATATGAAAGCGCTTTTAATTTTCAGTTCTACTTTTTTATATACAGTATTGAATATTTTAACAATATTTGTAACAGCGTAACTCACTGCGGAAATTCTTATTTTCATGAATTAAATTTTTCAATCGTTTTGTCAACCACTATCTGCAGACATAACCGCCGTAGAAATACATTATATATATACAGCTCTTACTATATGCACAGCTCTTGTAAAGTCAGTGGCTACTTGCTACTATCTATCAGTATTCAGTACTGTATTCATTTTTTGTTATGGTTTGGACCTTTAAATGACCAAACTTGCACAAAAATATCTGAATATTTTAAATGATAGCAAAACAATATTTCATTCAAACAGTTAATCTGGCAACCATGAAGTGCCGTTAGCTTAATCGGGATAATCACACTGATTTCTCATATGATATAATTTCCCTTTGCAGGTTATTTTATCGGAACAAGTATGTGACGGAGTGATAGATTGTTCTGATTTCTCAGACGAATGTTTATGTGAAAATATACAAGTTGGCGATTTATGTACGTTGATATATAATGCAACTGTTGATCGAGATAAAATATGCGAATATTCCTCAGGTAACTGACATTTTTACCTTTTTTTTTTTGTAATATTTGCTTGATTCATATATATATATATTTGAGATCTCACTATGACCTATGTACTGACCTGTTATAGGACTGGTTCCAAACATTTTTCGTTAAATTCCTTCCTTCCATATTTTGGAACTTTTCATTCCTCCTCCATCGGGCATAAAAACTACTTCATTTTTTCAATCTTTATTAGATCCTTTGGCAGTGTTATGCGCAAGTCGCTCTTCCGGTTTTATACAGTTTAAGCATTTATAGTCTGTACATGAATATGTATTATAGTAAGAATAAACTGAAGAATATCAGCAAATACAAAGCCAAATTTCTTTTCAAAAGAGACAAAAATCCCCCCTGCCCCATGTTTCTGTTTATCTTCTCCAGAATTGTCCATTTTAAATCTGTGTGTATTATGGAGTATTCAAATAAACTATCTATCTATCTTAATGCCAATCACCGGGTGGGTCAATAACTTAATCTATGCCAATCTGAATTTTTGTCAGTTGGTGGATCATTAACGGCGTAGTGCCAATTACTCTATCTCAAGCCGGGAGTTTGAGACCATCAGGCATCGCCCTAGCCTAAAAATGACCATAATACTTCTGCCTACAAACATTCAGAAAAGTTGTCTTACTCACTCCCTTAAGTCGGAGACTACACCCACTCACTTAAAATTGCTCACGGACAAAATGAAGTCGAACGACCGCTGTCGTATGTACCAGAAGATCATAAACGTGTCGAAATATTTTGTTGCCAGAAAATACCATGTTACGTATGACAACGTATAAAATAAGACATGAATGCTCAAATATATGGACTCGTGGGTCCGATGACTAACCGTGGTACCAGTAGCCTATCTATGTGACTTACCCTGACATTTTTTATTTGATGATCATAAATCTTTAAATCTAAATTGTGAAACAATTGCGTTGCGTTGACCAACTTTGGGTGCTAAAACTGGACATCGGTTCGTCCATTAGATGTAGAGAAAAGCGATTTGAGAACAAATACAACCAGAATTCATTGATAGGTAGCAAAAATAGCTTATTTCCCAAAAAGGGAGGTGCTTCTGCTGCCGCCGTGTATTGGTGGCTCTGAGCAGTCTGATACTGACCTCTTTATATAATATCCATTTCGTTCCCAGGAGATGTATCGTGTGGTGATGGAACTTGCATCAGTAGATCGAAGGTGTGTGATGGAAGAACGGACTGTGCGAACAGATTGGACGAGAATCATTGCTATACAATGAAGGTAAAGGCTAAAAAAAAAATTTTTCTGGGAACATAGGGCACCACTGCGATCAAACGAACGTGTCCAAATGTATGACACAGATCATCCTGGACGACTGTTGTACTTGCTAAATCCTATTTTCGTTAGTTGAGCATGTACGGAAATAAAAGCTAGAATTTCTTTTCAAATTTCTCTGGGCTCTTGAGGCTCTTTGTTTTAGTCAAATTTTGTCAACTTTGAAAAGGTACCGATTTTTTATCAATGTTTGTATTTTCATCCTGTTTGTATGATACGTTTCGCATGTTTGGTCGGTTTTTTTCCGTGTAGTATTTTGGCTTTGCAGCGCACATGACATGAGGAATAATATCCAATATCAGACTCTTATCTTGGAATGACAGTATTTTATATAAGATATTTGTATGCTTTGCATCTGAGTCCCGACAGAGTCGAAATAAGAAAGCTATTTTTCATCCACGCCACAATGAATAACTTCTTTTTTATTTCCATCCAGTATCGAAAAAAGTTTAATGAAAAACTAGAAGAAAAAGATGAAATTGACTGTATCGTAACTGAACTAGAAGAAAACGAAGTAGAATTAGAGGAAGCAGTTGTATGTGATGGAATACCAGAATGCGATGATCTTCAAGACGAATGTCATTTCAGTTGTGGGAGCAAAGGTCAACCATTTCCAGCGTATTGCTCCGCAAATCTTGATTGTATACCCGGAAGTTTGGTCTGCAACGGCAAAAAGGAAAGTCAACTTCTGGAAACCTGTAACTTCACTTACATTCCTGCCGAGGAAGAGAATTGTCCCGAAAGATTTTATTGCGAATATGGAAACAGGATAAGCATTGATATTGCCTTGGTGAGTAGCCTATTGATTTTATATAAAATTCAGCTCAAATGTAAATTTCTCAAAAGGGAGGGATAGAATAGTTGAGAGAGCCATTTTTACGTTACGAAAAGTTATACTATACGAGTAGGTCCCGGGATAAGCCCTATCACTAGATATCGATTGGTACGTTAACTATCGGGACTGAGTGTCAAACTGGAGTTTTGCAGCATGTCATTTCAAGTTCAGAATATATTAGGTTCTGAATGTGTATTAACGTGGCAAATTTGTATTGTGCGAATTTGATTCGCTTTCCCGTCTCATTTTTGACAGTCGGGTTTATGGCTATTGTTCTCGGCGATAAAGTTCTTACTGTTTGCGTAAACAAGGAGTGAAACAAAGATTTTTTCATATATATGTTCCAAACAAATATTTGTTTTCTAGGTGTGCGACGGGGTTGTTAATTGCGAAGATGAAACCGACGAAGCAAAAGAACGAAATTGCAATGATGGCAGGTTTTATTGTGAAACAAACGAAACAGCTTCGTTTTTCGGTAAAAACCGGCAACGACAAAACCACGTCTTCGTCCGAAAAGATCAAGTTGGGAACGGACGTTACGATTGCGACGATGGGTCCGACGAATGTCCGACAAGAAAAGACGAATCAAACGCTTTTAGTTCACGGACAGAAATGATATCTTGGGCTCCGTTACGATGGATATTGTGGATCAACGCAATACTTGCCCTTGCTGGAAATGCAATTGTGATATTGTTCACCATCAACCTATTGCGTAAGAAATATCACAAATTAACAACAGTTGCCAGATGCCACCATATTATGGTTTTAAATCTTTCACTCGCTGATTTGCTTATGGGAATTTACCTTTTAGTTTTGGCGATCAAAAGTATTCAATTTTCTGGAAGATATTGTCCCGAAGACAAACCATGGAGAATGAGCAAAGCATGTACAACATTAGGCGCAATGTCTCTAATTTCAAGTGAAATGTCTGTTATGACGATGCTAATCATGGCGGTTTTCCGTTTTTTCACGATCATTGACCCTTTGAACACCATCAAATCAAGTAAGACGGAGAAGATAGTACGATTCTCAATAGCTTTGGGTTGGATCATTTCGATACTATTTGCAGTGCTTCCAGCCATAGAATTACTCGAACTTAATTTTATTACGCATGCCTGGACCGATAACCCTCTGTTTGGCAATGACGTCATAACATCTGACGTCATAATTCACACTACAGAACGGGTATTGACATCGTTATCAAGAGGTTACGGATCTAACACAACCACTTTGCTACCTAAAAACGTTCGCACAACTGGAGACATTCAAGAGATACTACGAAAAAGTTTTCCTCAGAAAAAAGTCTTAGGTTGGTTCGGGTTTTACGGACAAAACAGCGTTTGTCTTCCTCGACTATTTGCGAACACCTCCGAGCAAGGATGGCAGTATTCTATTATTATATTATGCTTTAATTTATCATCTTTTTTCATCATGGTTCTTCTATATGGATTTATGGTGAAAACAAGTCGATCTGGAATAAGAAAACTAAAAGAAACAAACGCAGGAGAACTTCCTAAATGTCATCTCATGGAAAGAGTGACTAGACTACTGGTAACAGATTTCTTATGCTGGTTTCCGATATGTGTTATAGCTTTTATCTACTTAGCCGGAGTAAAGTTGGATGTAGTGGTTTATGCAATAAGTGGAATCGTACTTTTACCCATCAATAGCGCCTTGAATCCAATTTTATACTCAGGAATTTTCGAACTACTCGGCAAAAAAGCTAATGTCGCTCTTAGCAGAATGCCTAACAGTAGAAAAACAGATACAACTCGCTTGAAAAGCACGCAACAGACCAAACAAGGGGAAACATCGAGGAATACCTTTAAAACGACGCCTTTAGATTCAAACTATAATTCGGTAAAGTAATTTACACCTGAAAACTCACGTCGTGATACTGTTTCTGAGGCATGACTGCTGGACATTTTGGCGGATGATCGTAAACTTATGAATTGCTTCTTTTGCACGTTCGAAATGGGTTCACTCTTCATTATTGCTATCATTCTATAGCACCAGAGCGAATAGCTTATTTTGTGGTTATGTTTACAGTTCTTGCTTGCACTAACCTCAACAATCTTTGAAAAAACACCAAGTCTCTGGAACGTGAACGCCTTCAGAACTTATAGTTCAGTCAGAATTTACAAGCTTTGATTCTATTAACCAACTTCGACGTATATACCTCAAAATAATGGTGTTATTTAGTGGATGGGACTTTGAGCTGTTTTCCCTCCATCACGCCTTAAAGTGATAATTTTATAATATTATTACTTTTTTCGTCTTATTGATTACTGTGTTTTATATTATATCGTCAGATTATCTCATTTTTTTTAATTTTACTTTAACGATTTCAAAGTTTATATTCGTGTTTATATCATCTGACTTGTTCTATCGATTAACCTGAGCTGTCCATCTAATCAGCTCTTAATTAATTCATATTCTGGGATTATTTTTTAATTCAAAGCTTTTGCATCTTTTACTGTTACCAACTCTATAGACGTATTCCTCAAAAATGAATGTTCAATTATAATTAATTTTTTTAGTATTGGCAGGAAGTGGTTTTTCGTCATGTTGTTCTTGTTGGTATTTTTCTTCATGCTGTTATGGAAAAAATCGCTTCCCTCTTTGATTACTGGACCAATTGCTTTGGAATTTCCAGTGTTTAAAGATTGTTGTTGTCGCAAGATGGCTATTACTTTGGTACTCCCAAAATATGGGAACAAAGATGGCGGACACCGGAACGTAGTAGGTTAGGGCATAGGTTCTCAAAGTGCTCCGTACGGAGCCCCAGGGCTCCGCGAGAGAAACCCAGGGGCTCCGCGAGCTATTGGATTACTTTTCAAAATACTGACTAGTTTTGTAACTGTTCTAATAGGAAACTTTGATAAAATCTGACAACAAAATAGCCTCGAAATATGGCAAAGAGGCGGAATTAAAAAATGACATTATTTATAAGCAGGAGCGCAGCCAGGATTCTTAAGAGGGAGGCGGTTTCAAAATTGGAATCGAAAATTTCCGCGCAACATTCTTCCCGATTGAAAAAACGGATAACGAGATTTCTATTGCGTAAAATATTCAATCTATGACCGATGCGAGCATTTAACGAACAAATGAAATTTATTTTATTGCATTCGGCTCCGTCGGTAGTTTCAGAATGAAAAAAATGGTACATCGCGGAGCGCACACAATTGATTGCGTGCGGCTCCGTCGGTAGTTTCATAATGGGCGAAAAGGTACATCGCGTGCACAATTGACTGTATTTCGAATTCGCAGTTACTACGATGAAGACCTAACATGACACCAAATTTTGTGATTTACAATGTCTAGAAAAACGTTTTCAATCCGAGGTGAGTCTGCTGAAACCAAACGTGTGATCTTCCATTTTAAGTTTTGATATTTTAGAATGCCGCTTTTCAATCAAGAAATTTGAGTTGCGGATTTACCTCTTTATTAATTATTATTTTCAGCATTTCGTCACCGATGATTATAATATGGTAACATGTTTTTGACATTGAACTCATAATTCCCCACGAGAACAAAAAAGCAAATGACGTCGTCATTGTGTAACAATACTTGTATAAAATTTATTTTGGGGCTCCGTGAATAATAGTCAACCTTTTCAAGGGCTCCGCAACACCAAAAGTTTGAGAACCCCTGGGTTAGGGTTAGGCAATAATTTTATTTCAATTTTTTTATTTTAGTTCTATTACGAGTTCGGGGACTAGCCGAGTGACTTCCGTAGTATTTGTACCTGAAATTATGGCCTAACCCTAACCTGGTACACATACTACGTTCTGGTGTCCGCCATCTTGTTCACATACTTTTATTACGAAAATTCCTGTGGGCTCTATGGGAATAAATTTTGGTGTGCGATGACGTCATCAAAAATAAAAAATTTCGCAATTTGTGGCGGTTCCGCTTTCGTTGCCGCCATGTGTACAGGCGAAGTCGGGGGACTGCGGTTTCGGTAGTCTACTCTTATAGATTGGATGCCAGTACTACTTCGCTTTGCCTTTCGTGTCCATATATTTGAGTATAGCTCTTTTGCAGTAAATATTTGTTGTTTGTATGTTGCATCATACCGTAGTTACTCCACTCATTGTGAGGTAACCATGGTTGCATTGTCTCACTATCACGCATTGTGGGTATAAGAATTCGACTACTCGATAAGTTTGGGGAAAGTATAGGCGAGTTTTAAAGAATATTTTTTTTTGTATAAATCCACTTTTATTTGACTTGAAACCAGATTGTGGCTGGGCAAACGCTGCGTGTGGTATCTGGCATTTTCGGTAATTCAATTTAAGCTTTAATTTTAAAAGAATCAGATCAACGGGGTAAATTTATGGCATTTTGGAGAGTATGCCTTCGCCCTTCTACTTAGCATTTCGCCGAATTTCTTTATACATAGCAAGAGTAACAGCAAAATTAACTAACTATGACAAGACATCGTTAAATGAATTGTTTGAACTTCGCTGGTTCCGATACCAACGATCAGATGTGTATATATCACTGCAAGCCGAAAAATCTATAATTTCATGCATTCAAATGGGTAAAAGCAAAAAGGTAAACTTCAGAACGGCATTTTCATAGAGTTTTTGTTTTTCCGAGACAACCTCGGAAGCGTTTTACTGGAAAAAGAACTTATACTGGTAAAATATTAACAGTGCATTAGTAGATATGCGTTGTAGAGCTGTAACAAATATATATTGTTTTCAATAGCGTTCTGCCTTGTGTTGGGGGTGAGGGGTATACGTTCATTTGGACTCCGTCCCACTGCAAACAATAAAAAAAATCGAGTAACAATACTTGGAGCCACAGGACAAACATAACAATATTGCTTTTAATAGCGTTCTGCTTCATGCTGCGAGTAGGGGTGGGCGGTATACGTTTATTTCCGTCCCACTGCAGCCTGTCACATTCATCGAGGAATAGTTCTTAATTTCCTATAACCATCTCGACGATTACGCCGGTGTTTAGCCTAAGTCAGTCTCATTTGATTCAATCCCAGAAGTAATGAAGTACAGTACCTTCATATTACATATTTCGACAAATCCGATAGGTTTTCTAGTCTATTCTCATTGGTCTAGTTTAAAGTCACAATAGCGACAAATTACAATGCTTCATTGCAGCCTTCCTTAACTCGTTGATTGGCCAGTTATATACTCATGTTTCTTACTATTGAATAACCTGCTCTTCTCCGTGCACTGGTGTATTTTCAGTTGTACAAAACTTGTAAACTGTTTTGCAACCAAACCACGACGCCATGTCACCGTTAAATTTACCAACGACTTTGTGAGAATCAAGTGTTTTCTATAATCAGACCTACGCTTCCCAGAACCGACCTACGACATGGCTATAAGTAAGAAAATGATTGAGCTAAAACCTTGTTTTAACATTGTTTCAAATCAAGATTTTCAACCCCATATCAAAATAAACCTCTGAAATCAAACTTTCCTGACAAACAAGCGTTCAATCAAGTGAGACAGTTTTCAAGGATAATTATGGAGGATTCGTACTGGTTTTCTCAAACTCTTGCTCCGTATTTATTGCCATGGTAAAAACTCCGTATATCGTCACGCTAATAATCGAATTGCGTATAAGTCATTTTTGGCGATTTTGAGTTTTTTATAAAACAGGTATTTATGTAATGCTGCGCACCTGTCTCTTAACTCAGATTTTATTTTAAGAATTCCGAAACCCATAAAAATGGAGATTTAGTATGACATGCACATTTGTGCAATTGTTTCGTCATAATGAATTATCATTGTTACCGCCGGACTATTGTGACGTCACAAACACAAAATAATCTCGGTTAAGTATTTTCGAGTTTTGGCATCTCGGATTCTAGCTTAGCGCGTATTAATTTGAATTTTTACTACAGTATAGGGGGACGTGCACTTGTGATATTCACCGTCCGAGTCAAATTCACCTTGGTTGACTTTTATATTGGGTGCATTGCTGTTTTATTCTTTATATTTAGTCTTAATCTTATTTCGGTGGGTGTGCAGAACGTGTTATATTGATGAAATATATATTTTTAAACATAAAAAATAATGTAATTGAAAATGATTAGCTATTTTGGGGATTAGACATTGTAGATACTGAGAATTACATTCGGTTTTGGAATGTTTAGTTTTCAGGACTGGTGCATATAGTAAAGTTGCAAAATTGCGTATGTCCCAAGTCATAGACTCATTTCTGCCTAAGTCACAGTGCGCCATTATGACGTCACTTAACTGCGTCATACAAATCAACTTAAATCCGGCTACGATCAAATGATTGAACCATGGCAAATTATTGACTCTCAATGGCATAACAATATCATTAGGAAATTTTTTACGTTTTTCTCAAAACTGCTAAAAATGACTTACGCAATTCGGTTATTAGCGTGACGATAATATATATATTTGTGAACAATTCATGGAGATTATGGCCAGCCTTAATGGCATACAGGTCTTCTGGTGGGACTCCAGAAATATGTGTACCAATATGGAGGTAACTAATTTCGCTCGCCTACTTTACATCAAGTTGTGTGAAGGGACAGAAACCTATGGGCAGGGGGTATATTCACTTGGCTAACACAGACGGTCCGTGAACTCGTAATAGAACTAAAATAAGGAAAATCGGAATAAAATTATGGCCTAACCCCAACCTGGTACACACACACACTAAGGGATTTCCACTTCTGGCAAATCCATGCTAATTACCTATTTCAGAGAGTAACGACACAGCCTGATCGCTTAATTGTGTGTGATTGATTCACACATCGCTAATTCTCGCATCACCAATGAAAGGGCGATATAAAGACGTTATTGTAGCTCAGTGTTTATCAACCTTTTTTTCGTAGCTCATTTTTGTTCGACCAATATTCTGTGTCCTATTAACTTTTATTTACAATGAAAGAGGATATCAAAAATAAATGGAAATAATAAAAACGTAAATCACCTTTGTGATATTTTCATTAATTAGAATGAAAATTACAACTGGACACTGAGTAGCAGAAAACAGCATCGTCATTCTATGTTCCTACAATCAACATGAACTGTAGTGATACAAATAAATCTAGCAATTGTCAATCGGTCGTGGTTCACCTCAAAATGTTTCCTTGGCACAACACTGAATATTGCTAACGTTTTTATCGCATCCAACGGTATTTGTTTTTTCGATGTATTTGTAATGATGAAGGTTACGGCGTCAAATTTCTCGTACTCTTCATGTTATTCCTTTTTTTTTGAAAATCCGCTCAACATCGAAATCTTAATTTTAGAGCAGTCGAAAAATGGCTGAACTTATAATAAATTCCCAAGATAATAGAAATTTCATTATATTCGGGAATGATTCTGATGTTTCGGTCTGTTTTATTTTTGGAATTTCACTCAAAAAATTACAGAATATATTTTGGACCAAAATTTCTTTTACATCAAAATGTTGTGGTAACGAACAATAAGACAAAACACCATTAAGTAAACGCGCCATCTTATCACACCGTCGATTGTTCCTGAAAGCTTTTGTGCGATGTCGAACAAAAATTTTATCAAGATAATACGAATCTGAATATGCATTTTTTCATAATAAAAATTGCTCAACGCAAGTTCAAGCGCAATCACTTAGAAATAAAGGAGATTGATCTCCAAGCAAAGCTACCGCCGGTCACTGAAGTGCCAAGAATTCCTCAAACCCTATATATAATATATATTAGTATTAGTGATCGGCAAACTGTGGCCCGCGAACCAATATTTGTGGCC